TTTTGAGCAAATTACTTATAGTTTGTTAGTAGTGTGAAACGACTTCGAGGCAGACAGATTAGGTAAGAGATGACCCACCATCCTTTCATGAAATAAGCCCATACATCCACCTAATGAAGAGGACAACAGACACAGGCTTCAATCATCGTAACCGAAAGGCTGAGTGTTTGACATTGGTCTGGAGGTCACGGCTTCGAAACTCCCTACTGGAGTTCTGGAAATAAGCATGCACACTGCTGAAGATCCCCCGTAAGGAGGAAACAGCTGTACAGTGCTTCTCGACTTTTCAGCACAGATGGGCTTCACTGACAGGATGAAATTCCTGGTGAAATTGGCCAGGCCTCCTCACATCAACAGTTCTGATTCTACTTGTGTTTACCATTTCGCATGCCAACAAAATCCCTAGTTGGCCGAGCAACGTCTCGTCTGTGACCCCGATCCTGCTCGACAAATTGGACCCATCCAGAACAAGCGATAATTATTTTGTGGTTTAGTGCTTCTAATTTGCTGTTTTTGCCGATTCCTCCATGGAACCGTCTGTTTTTAGCTGATGAAGCCAAGGCTTTAACTTTTAGCAGAACAGAAGAGACCAGCCGAATGATTACGAGTGCAGGTTGTTGACCATTGCCTGACGCACAGTTCAACACAAGGAATATGTCAAGGGAGCAAGTGTGACTCTGTGCTCATAGGGACTGGTTCATATAAGAAAGTGTCACCCATGAAAACTGAAAAAAAACCAAGCGACGGTCGATAGGAAGATAAAATTAAGTGTATTTGTAGAGTTTAGTAAGTGTCTACCCGTTTACAATTGTGATTACAGAACGAACTTTTCCTTCTCCTGGGAGATTATGGTTTGTTTTAGACAACCCCCCTGGGTAGTAGCTCGAGGTTAGAAACCGTTTTGATGCTTCACAGTGTTGGCCCTCACAAGCAGAGATAACTGCATCACTGTTCGGAAGCCAGCCGTCCCTAATGACCGGACATCACATGATTTGGACGGATGTGTCACGTGCAGGACACGGACCAAACGAAGGCATGCCCTGATTGGTCAGAATGCCAGTCAACCCGGGTCGAGCATCCTTGTCTGGACGCTTCTCACTCCCCCTCGCGGAGATTCTGGCACAACCTTGTGGATCACTCTGTGACTACCATATAAATACAGTTGTAGTAATTTTCCTTTGTCTCCATAAAGGGCTGTGTAGAGCTACCGTGCCTTTTGATACACCATAGTGGGCGGAGCAGGAAGCCAAGGGACCGATTCAGAGTTGCACTACCGTACATCAAGTCACAACAATCACCAAATCAGTGACAATGCATTGTAGCTAGTTGTCTCGTTTATACGCGAAGCAATCATGTGATGCGCCAGAACCTTGTGATTTGCACACAGCTCAACGGCAATTGTTTGACATTTTCTCTCAGACAACACCAAGTAGCTTCTCTGGATCAAGCATATACTTCAGGCTGATTCATTCGTTTCACCTCATAGGCTACTAAATTCGAATCGACAGACAATACTTCTCAAGCCAGTGGGCTATCTACCGGTTCGCGAATTTCAAGCAAGGAGGATTTGCTCAGGCACAAATCCGAACTGATTCAGGCATTGAGCCCGGACGTGTTGCAAAAGTGGTACCGTTGCGTCTCATCAGGTTCCAACGAAGCTGAACGAATGTATCATCTTCAGCCTGTCAGGTGAGGAATTTTCGTTCAAACCGTAAGTCATCCCCTAAACTGACTAGTAATCGGGACCAATCAGAAATGGTCTCTCCATATAGTTGGACTTTACAAAAGACTATTAATCCTAGCGCTTCTACATGAATAAATTTAGTGATCTACTTCACCGTTTGAGATCAGGTGGATGGCAATGGAGCTGGTGGCAAGGAGATGAACTTGTATTATCCATCACACAGAGGAACGTACGAAACCAATACGTACTGGTCATAGCGTTATCGTGCTAATGATGAGTGACCTACAGGGATTGTCCCGACCGGGACAAAAGAGCATACTGCAAGTGTATTTTGCTGCACCTATTACTGCTTGTCAGCATAGAATAAACTCCATTTATCGATAGAAGACTATTCATAACGTTACTCATAACTACTCGTCAGCCGACGACTGGTTTTACCCCTCTTTAGGCTTATCAGTTAGACGCAGTCCCAGAGTTTCCGTCAATTTTAGGTTCCATTCGAGTAATATATCTTCATGTCTCGAAGATCGTATGAAATATGAAGCGTCCTATGTTCAGCACATTCAATTAAAGAAAGTCATAAACGACTGATTCATCTGGAATTCACTAAGTTTACGACTAAAACCAAATCACTTTGCTACCTAGTGCAATTAGTTTAAACTCCGAATTCCTTTTTTGCCCAAGCCCAGACAGGGGAAGTCGAGAGATAGAGGTCGGGTTTGAACCACAGACCTTCCGGTCAGTAAATTCGCGCTCTACGCCATCTAGCTCCCTACCATCATGATATACTGCCGAAACAAGTCTCACAGCAAACGTTTTCTTCCTGTAATTTATGAACAGCTCCAAGAGAGTAGTAGTATAAAGCGAAGTGACACGATGATTGGCTTAGTTGTAAGGGCGAACATGATGAAAAATCACTTTTTTGAAGAAAAAAAAACAACTGACGTGTACGTTACTGTTGTCTTTTACAGAAGTGTGTATCCCGATGTGCTTCGATATGAAGACCAGTCACGTCGTCAAGCCGCTATCGAATGTTGGCTAAAGGACTCGCACCACATTGCTTGCTTATTCATGCGCTATATCAAGCCATGCCAGAAAAACGCTGGAGACAGTGAAGCTTTACCAAACAGTATGGCAGGAAGACGGGGTTCAAACCTTGAGACAACTACCAGGGAGGCTGATGAAGATGAGACAAAGGAACGAGTCCCAGACGAGGAAGACCGAGCATTTATAATGGAGTCTGGTAAGAAACTCCTGTTTTATGCAACACTGTATGCCTATCAGGGGATCAGCCTGGGCCGATTGCTTTATATTCTTGTTACTAATTTTCATATGAGTAGTATAGGTTTGTCGTAAAAGTGAAAACTATCCAATGGGATAAGAGGCTGACCGTCGAATCAGACGTAAACGGATGCTTCTGCCCCATTCGCCACGTCCTATAAGTGAGACTCAGTTTAACCCTTGTGAAATCTCATCCATATAAGGCCTCCATGAGGCGCCTAAGGGAAGCAAAATTCTATCAGAAACAGCCCGCACAGGAGTTCTAAACAAAGGCACTTTCAAGGTCTACGGTGATCTTTACTAGTGGTAACCAAAGAACGGTTTTCGGACATTTTCCTCATGAGTTAAATGACGTCAATTTGTAAAGTACTAGGTGATGTTTTCGGACATTTTCCTCATGAGTTAAATTATGTTAATTTGTAAACTACTGGGTGACTTCGAAGTAAAACGTGACCTGTGCGCATGACTGCGACAGTCAGAGAACAAATGCAAAGGTCAGCATGAAATATCCGTAGCATTCTCACTGCTTTAACCGATCATGTACCAAGAGAGAAGTGTCGAATAAACAGAATCGTCTCTGAGGCGAATCTAACACGTCGCTTGTCAACTGACAAGCGCTTCGAAAGCTATGGGAGTTCTCAGTTGAGCTTCTGAAAGAGAGGAACACAACTGGTTCAGCAAGCAGGATATTGCTTACATCTTTCACCTCCAATTCTTGAAATCCGACTGTGATCCGCTTGACTCCACTGTGTTAGTGCAGTGCCACTTCGCTTTCCTCGCAAAGACGTGGCTATGGCATCGTAGACCAAATACAATGGACTGGTTTGCTGATCGTCCGGATTCCGATCCTACCAAAAACGTCTGATGTCTACGCTTAAATTAAACGTATACATGAACCAAAATTCATCTTACTGGTGGACAGCGCGAAGTTTTAAGCTGATTTTGGGGCAAACTTGGTTATATTTAGTCCACAGACTACCAGAAGATGCGTTTGAGTTTTCACTATGCAAAGTTGTAAGATTCTTGACCAACCTTTGTTTTTGCTTTCCTGATCAGAGCGTGGAAATATAACTTCGATCTCTCAGACATTGTGCTGGTAAAAAGCAAACTTGACACCTCTCCAGCTCTTGTCGGGACTTGCAGTAATGAGGCTAGAAGTTTGTATTATAGATTTCTTTATCATAGCTGAAAACGCTTTTGAGTGGAACATTTCCAAAGGCATCATTCGCCTTGTATGTTCATCTAATACAACGTAGATTGCAATCAAACCAACGTCAGGGATTCCCCCAGTAATCTCATATCATGCATTCCTCGTACAGGAACTGTAGCGATCTCTACGTACAAGAGTCTCTGCAACGAATAGGAAGCCTGCTTGTGCGTAGCTTCTCCTCAACCTAAAAAAGAAACAGGATTGATTATCATCATCACGGACAACAAAATTGGTGTTGAAGGTGATGCTCAACCGCCGTATAACCACCAGGTTTATCTACTTGTATCTGAAGCCTGAGAGTAAAGAGAAAAGGTTGGGTGGTGAGGGTAGGAAAGGAACCGATCCTGGCCTATCGCAAGCATTGCGACGTAACTACACCAACGCACTAAATGCTCCGACGTCGTTGGGGTTGGTGGTGACAGGAAGACTCAGATGGTTAAACTAAGCGCTGCTGAGACCCGATTGGATGGTTGTCTTGGATTGGACACGAGATGCCTACATCTAAATTTAACTCTAGTCATCAAGAAGTTTATGAATGTTGTTCATCTTCAAATGTGAACCCAAAAGCATTGACGATACACACCATCCATGAGGTTACTGATAACTCTTCGACAGCTAACCACCGATTTCGCCCTTCCACTTCGGGCTCATCATTCGTGTGCAGTCTTCGAGTTCCTACTTCCTACTTGAAATCAGATTGGGCTGTTTTTTCGAGAAATACACTCATTTACAAATCAACTCAGTTTTCACGGGAGACTCAAATGAATCTCTCGTTCATACTATTCTTCAAATGAATGTGCTGCGCAAAGGCCGCTTCATGTAATAGTTGGTACGATATTTGAGAGATCGGAGTATATTTTCATAAAAGAAGGTTGCTGAAAATTCTTCGACAGTTCATGATCAGTTCCTCCCTTCCTGAGACCCATCGTCGTCCCCGAGTTTCCGTCAACCTTATGCTCTACTTGAACCCAAAATCATTCAAAATTCATTCAAATACTATGCGTATCCAAATGCTTGTATCGAGTCATCGTGCTTCGAACTCACCTTGGTTCCTAGGTACTTGTCAAGTAATAAACAAAATGGAATTCAAAACTGATCGATTTTGAAGTAAAAAGTAATCCATGTTTCTCGTTCTCAAAAATGATCGATTAAAGACAGATATTCAATGCATTTTCAAGTAGGCAGAACGTTAAATTTAAACTGAGAACCTGCAATGAACTTCATCATATCCAGACTCAAAAATGTAATCAAGCGAACAAACGATCGTTTAGCTGTAACATCTTGCCACCGTGACATCTGAAGCAAGCAAGAAGATCGAGATACTGCCAAGTTGATCCATCCTAGCCAAGAACAATCAATACGCAGAGTTTCGGTTTGAACCACGAACTTTCCAGTCACAGTGTTCGCTATCTCCCACTCAAACACGAAGATTACCGGGCCTTTCTCCTGTTCTTTCGAATAGGGAATTATGTTTCCTATCGCGGCAGTTGATAAAAAGCCCCAGGTGTTTCTGTAATCCCAACTGATTTCAGACTACTTGCGAAGCACCCCCCCCCCCAAAGGGAAAGGCATGAGAAAAGGCTGGGTATCTCGGAAATTGCTTGATACCGAGAGGTGACTACTCTCCACTTTGACCTGGCGCTTACTCTTTAAAATGTACTCATAAAGGTACTCGAGGTATTATGATGCGATGCGTGTATCGCTTCTAGCAATCGAAGAACAACTGGAAGCATTCTTAACTCCCGGAAAAGAAAGCAAGGACTGTTTTGTGGTGGTACGTCTTCACGATGACCAATCAAGGCAATCAAGGCTTCTTTCGATCAATAAGCGATCTGAATCACTCAGCTTGCCAACGAATCGATCAGTGTTGAATGTCAGTTTGTTTTCTACGAATGGCCCGATCAATCCACTTCTGGATAGCCACCTAGAGGCGCCGTTTGAAGAATCGGAGAATAGGGCAAAGCGTGTTGTTGAAGATTCCATTCTGTGCGTAAGTTTGTGAAAATTATTTATAAAAAACTACCAGAACAGTGATTTTTCATCCTTAGCTGTTGAAAATCGGCATATAGACGGCAATCAATAAAATCAATAAATCGAAAGAAAATTTCCGCACTTTACCTTTGTCATTGCATACAACCTGTGGATGTGCATTCCATCACACTACACAAAAAAGTAGAGTTTTGAAATCAGATGAATGCTGGTTAAGAAGTAAGCTTCTGCTGCAGAGCTGAAAAAATCGATCCTAGAGAAGCTACCCACTACGCGCTCTGGTCTGGCTGTGTCTAATCGAGTTGATTTAGCAAAATCCCATTGCGTCGCGTTCAAGTTCAAAGTTTACACCAAGTAGTCATATGTGTTCGAGTGGTTCTCGTTTGGTTTGGCGCGCAAACCGAAATTTGTTGGGAGTTTGGCTGGCAGAGATTTTAAAAATTGTTCCTAAATATTCACGAAAAGCAGCAAGAACGTAATATTCAACAGGCAATCGGCTTGCAGTCAATGATCCTGCCTGGGCCATTTCAAGCGGATTTCGTAGTCCATGGCTCTGTGGTCGAATACCTAACAAATTTCGGAAACGTGGCAGACCAGGCCTAATGGAATATGTAAATTTTTTCAACTAACTATCAGAGCATCATTTAAAAATTCCCTTCCAATACTGTTGACCGACTTAACGTTCACTACGATTTACAAAAAGATCACTAGTAACGGAAAGGTGGTCAGATCTCAAAAGAGATATCCCAGGTTATACCATCACCTCTTTTTTACCTCTGCTCATTGTTTATGAGACCCATCGGATCACCCCTATTTGTAGAAAAACCTACAATGACATCGTTTTGTGAACAGTATTTTAGCAATCGTTACAGGCACTGCAATGTAATCCATCGTAATCTCAGTTTAAAGAAGCACACTACTCATCAAAACGTCAAGCAATCAAGATCCAAAACATCTTGAATTCAACAAGCCTTTCGGAACCACAATATAGGAACACTAAAATTATCAGGAAGGTCAGATTTCTGAAAGCAAACTCAGAACGCCCGGAACCTAATGCTCCACTAAAAACTCAACGGGAAAGCCGGCAAGCATTCAGATCAGTCAATCATTCAATCAATTCAGCAAAAGCTGATGAGTGTTCTTGCACGCCACAGAAGCACGACCGAATGTGATCAGCGTTCAGGCATTTCATAGAGGCACGATCGATGTTGATGGGTGTTCACTAACGTCTATCCGACAGCCTGGACCAATGTCAGAAACGCCTCTTTAAATAGCGTGGGGCCGTTGTAACTTTTGCTCTGGCACTCGCTTGTTCGGAGTATAGCTGTTGTGTTCCCTTCTGTGAGTCTTTTTTCCCCGGCATTAGGCACTGGAGCGGGTCAGCAGCAAATACCACAGATTGACGAATCAGCAGATATAACAAAAATCAAATATGACTTTCCTCAAACTGCAGCGGGTTTCTGGTAGCCTGGAAACGGACTACTGAATGCTTTTCACATGCAGATGGGGAGGTGTAACAACAATTAATTTTTGGTCCGACCACTGGACACCGGGTCAGGGGCAATGAACACTACTCTTCGGCAAGACACCGGCTGATCGGTGAGTCAGACCCAGAATCAGGACTTGGATTGGTCACTATTTCTTGGGTTTTTGATCGTCAGACAACTCTGGTGCCTCCTCCGAATTAGGGTTTATCCAGCTTTACGCTACCTGCGACATTGCAGACGGACAGACTCGGACAGCGTGAGACATCACTACGACCTTGTGTGCAACGTCTCAAGGACACATTCTGTGTTACAAATATCAGGCCCGTTGATAATTTTAGCATCTACATCCTCAGTTAACCATTTCTCTTCGAGTAGGCTGCATGATGGACGCGACCTCAACACGTGAAACACGTCCGCTGGTTCTCTAGGTGTATTTGAACAAATAGTAGGACGTAATGCACTGCTCATAAGGTTGCTGGGGATGTCAGCAACATGAGGCGGCCTGATGCAGCACAATCAGTTGCTTGGGAACATCATAAACGAAAGATTCAGCTGGGTTCTAGGTGAATCTCTCGCAAAACTAAATTTGTTTGCACATAGGTTTATTTCGCTAAAAGACTAGAAGATCATCGCGGCACTACTCGGCGTGAAGCGACAGACAACCGATTACTGGGCAGGGATTTGGCACATCCCGTCCCATGCACGAGACGAGCAATTCACTGGATAATAAGCGACTGGGAGAGAAGAGCGTTATGAAGTTTATGCAGTTAGATAAATCATTCTCGCTGACAAAACAAACTTCAGTCTACCGTACTGCCGAACCATACTTAGAAACACATGAGTTCTTATGGTCAGCAGTAGAGGTAAAACTTCCACAATATTGGTACAATATCAGCTACCAGACTAATCCGTTTTACTTTCAAATGAAGAATCCCCTCTGTGAACAATCGAGCTACTGACTTGTTTGCGTCCACAGAGTGTCAACAGACCGGATACTGTTCGCAATACTGCTCCATGCCACTTGCGTGTGGTGTGGTCCTTACGGAGATAGTGCAGGACCATTTTCACCGGCTCTTAGTTCGATTGAATTTTCGATCTTTGTAGAATATATTGAACTCACATAAGAAGAGCTACATGCGGTAAACTTGCCAGGAAGGGCCCTGAGGAGATTTGTTCGAACCGTTCGACAAGCAGGATTGGATGATTTCACTTTTTTGGAGCAGGTGGCGAATAGTTCCGAAGCCTCCAAGCACAAATCGCCATCCAGAAATGTATTCATATAAGTGGACATGAATCACAAGTGCTAAACACGATTTCCAAATGTGAGCACACATGAGATATCATTGTTAGAAACGAAGGGAAGCAAAGTATGGGAAGCTGTGATTTTCACAATTTGTTGTAGGCTTGGTTAGTGTCACAGCTAAACTGACCGGTGACTGTGTTTTATCACTTTCCATCTGATGAATGTTCCATTCCAGTTAGTAGAGGTCCGGGTAATTGAGGAATTTGTTGAACACGTATCCGAGCCCCACGCGTTTGACCAGATTCCCCCTCGTCCTTGGGCGACCATTTTGATTGGTTCACATCAAGGGGGACTGTAATTGGCTCGAGTTTTGCTATTGGTAGGGCTGATCAGTAATGTGCATCTGTTCCGTGTTGAGAACCATCATTTGATCCATCATTTCACCCTGTAAGTATGCATTTACCGAGGCGACTGATTACTGCTGTCGAACTCCTGTTCGACAACGGATCAGAGATGTAATGTGAGAAGCTGAATGTTTCAAGCCAATTAACCACTCCCTGTGCTTTTGTGTCGTTCAGAACATAATTTCGAACCACAGACCGTCGCAAGAACTCCTCCCCAGTAAGCCAAACTCCTCACCGGCTGTTTGTCGCTTCACGCGAGACAGTGCTGCAATGTTCTTCCATTCCACCCAGTCATGAAAAACGCTTGACTAGGGGGTAATTCAGCAGTGTCGACTAAGGCCATCGTGAAGTCATCTCAAGATTTTCGTGCGGTAAGCACAGGATCAGGGACAGAAAACTAACTAACTCAGTGAATGACTGACACCAAAACCACGCTGTTTGAGGGGGCACACGTAGCTGTGGATCAGCGTGCTGTTGTTTTATGCCAAAACTGTCAGCTAGTCTGATATTTTCAACCTAGACTTGACGTCCTTGAGACCATGCATCAAGCGGACATATTGTCCACGTTTATCCATCTGCATTGTCGTAGCGAGAGTAAAGCTGAGCGGACACCCAGTTCGAAAGCGGCACAAGCGATCTGATGGACGGGCACCTAATCTATAATGATCCGTCTGTGTTCCGACTGTGAGTCCTCCCGCCTACTAACTGATTAGCTTATATCTTGTCGACCTAGGCGAGTAATGGTGTAGCCCTTGTGCCTTCGACTGTGATCAACTGATTGCTATCCCGCTTGTTAGTCCCTAGGGGGTCACAGAATTCCCCACCGTCAGCTTACGGAAACGAAAGGCTTTCCAAGGTATTTAGTTTGAGCTAGTCGTGTTTGTTCAGGTTACAGGTATCTCGACAACCATGTTTCGTTTATGGCTGCCCTCAAAATAGTATCAGAACGAAGGTGCATCGGCCAATATAATGTCCAACCGTGTAGTTTATCGATAGTTCTTGTCAGATTCTGACTCCTGTTTAAAATTGAGTGACAAATTGAACGGACTACGTTTTTGTGTGCTTCAACAGGTTCCACCGGCAAACCAGTCACAATACGATCTGGCCGTCTTCACTCATCTCACACTGGAAGATCGCATTTTTCGAAAACGACCTCCTCTCGAACCACTGGATCAGAAAGAACACTCCAGCTACCTGGAAGCGTTTTGCCGATCCATTCGTGAGCAATTTATGACCAGTCTTGTGGCGGAAATGAATCGAAGAATGGAGAAGGAAAGGCAGAATCAGCACGGTGCTGAAGCGGATAAACAGAAAATATGGGACCTGGAATACGAGATTAGCGCACACTGGGAGATGTGTGAAAAGATGTAAGTTTGCCTTTCAAGAAATACACTAATGCGCCTATAGTTGATGAGCCCCAAGAAGGGCAAAACCGGTCGTGGGTTGTCGAAGAGTTTTCAGCAACCTTGTGAGTAGTTTCCTTTGTGAAAATGTAAGTCTGCTGTTCACTCTGCTTTTTGGAGGTAGATACGATGCTTCACGGCGTTGAAGCCCAATTTGGGAGGACCCAGATGCAAAACTGTGGAAACCCGAGAGGCTTAAAATTTTGCCTCACTTCTGTACATGGTGTTAGCACGTATGGGTGAAATATGGTTAGACACCGACGTTTCGTCTAACTTTGACAGGCACAAGACGTGAAAAGTGTGGACAGCGTGGAAGAAAGTGCCAATGATAAACATAGAATTAAAAGTTATATAAAGTTGCATGGTCAGAACCTTGTGTACACACAATGCAATCTGGTGAGTAAGCCTCTTAAACTGACTGTGGTTTAAAATTCCGTGTACGCACCAAATGTGTCGTTCGGCTATCCTTCGTGACTACCCTGCAGTAGAAGCTTGATAAAACAAAATGTCAAACCATGATTTATTCCCTGACTTTTCCAGGTACTGATGCTTCAACGACGTACCCCGGCTTCGATAGACACCCGTCTTTCTAGATGGTATGGGTATCTTTTTAACTGCTAGGAAATTAGGTATGACGAACTGAAACAGTGCTGTATTCGATAGGTTTACTTGATGATTTGATGCCTAAGCTGAACGACAATCATGTATCGAAGCTCTGTACTGTCAACTGGTCCAACTGAGTCCACAGCAGATCTGCAATTGGTGGTGCCTGTGCTCAAATTTGCTTCCCACCATGTGCGGTGAGGGTCAAACCACAATCTGTCGCCAAGATGAGCTTCCTCAAGGTTTAGTCCGCCTACCTGGGCATTCACACCATCTGCCAAAATAACGACACATGTAGACATCGGTGACTGAAATGACCTTGACAAGTCTCGGAAAAGCTCTTGAGCGGAGCGCATGCTGACACAGCAAACAAATACCGTTTACCACGTCCAGATGCATTGATCTCTATGTAACCTAACAGCTCAAGACGGCCGTTTGCCGGAACCCAGTACAGTAGGGCGCTTTCATCCCGAGGGCTAATCCCAACGCCCATGAGCCATTGCATCAGCACCACCAGACTCCACAGGAGTGAAGTGCGGAGATTTATGTTCGTACAGATTGGTTTTAGATGTATGGCCAAAATAAGGTGTTGAATGCCTGTTTCGGAAACGCAACATACATCGATCCAAACAAGAGCTAGCCGTTGCGCAACTCGAACAGAATACGAATGTTAAAAGAAGTAATTTGGAACAGATCCATCGAATTTAATAAGGGTGTATTTATATTCACTTTACTAGAGAGAAGCGTAGATAAGCAGTACCTGTTATTTGATTGACCGCTAAACGAGTCAGCAGGAGTTGAGTGAGAGACGTCTGGGGAGGGGTCAGTGAATGAAGAAATGTAAGATCGAGTGATAGTTCTCAGTTGCTCAGGCGGAAAAGAGCGGCTCAGTTGAGGCACATTTTCTGAATCTTTGATTCAAAATTCTGACCCACAAGGAAGTGGGCGAATGTAGGGTTTTGTTTGGGGACCCTTTCCTCAGTCTCTGACCCTAGAAACATCAAAACCGAGGGATTCAGCTAGGTTTCAAGTGAGTCTCTTAAACAACCAAATTAGTTTGAAAATGAGTGTATATTCGCTAAATTCGTGCAATTTGGTTTCAAGCAGAACCTAAGGTTGACGGAAACTCGGGGACTGCGCCTACCTGATGAGCCCCAAGAAGGGCGAAACTGGTCGCGGGCTGTCGAGGATTTTTCAACAACTTTATGAGTAGTGCATTACAAAAGTATTTATATTAATTTCACAGGGGAGAAGCGTAGATAAGCAGCACTTAGTAGTTGATTCTCAATCTTTGATCCAAAATTCTGACCCACAAGGAAGGGTTTTGGGACCCTTTCCTCAGTCTCTGATGCAAAAGTTTGAATCATGAGGCACTAGTTTTTAGGGTCTCCTGAATAGACCCTTCCCGGAGCCACTGACTCAACAGTACGATCCACTTGGCTGCAGGGAGTTAGCCTGGCCCCACGGCGCAAGGAGTCATACATAACTGTCTGACTCCTAATATGGTTGCGGAAAGCAAGCACTTGTGGGCTTCACCAGCCCCATTGGTTATAAGAGTATTTTGACCTTACTGAGTAAGGCGTCGACGGTCACAGTCAACCTTTCGATGGTCGGAGTGTGCGGCTTTTATGATTGAGTTTTTTTAACGCGTCCTTCCTCAGAGGAAGGCAGCATCGCTGCTTCTACGAACAAGGGATCGCCTCACTGACTTTACACTACCATCACAGAGGAGAGCATGAATTTTACTCCAGACCGCCTCGTAGTCTCGTAGGACGGGGAATTGTTGTTCTTCATCGGGCTGCTCCCCGTTAATCTTCGTGGCATTCTGGGAACTTTAGGGACTGAGTTCTAGTCAGTATGGTCAGCAGGCTCTTTGCAGCACAGAAACTCGACAGCCACGTCAAGAAGACAGATTTAGATTAGTAGAAAGCCCTTATTTCTCCCAAAACACTTTATGGGTAGAAGAAGTGGGAAAGCTGAGTTTTTTGTTCTTTTCACAAATATTTTGTGCAATCTTGGTTTGTATACTGCATACTGCTAAAATTTTGTGAGGCTCAAGCTGGTGTCTGGATGGGGTGCCTGTGAAGTAGGTTTCATTCGGTTAATATACCATGCTTGAACCGACAATCGACTCTCTTGTTGGAGTGAACATGAATGTTTTACTTTTCAAAAGAGGGAGGATATTGTACGTAGAAAACCACGATGGACAAGCTATGCGACTCGGAAAACTGGGTCCTCTAACCGCGAGCAGAAGTTTTCTGATGTCGTCTTCAAAAAGAGGCCATTTCCCTTTTGTCGATGGTTACGACAAGACTCGTGAATTTTGCTACGTCTGAAAGCTTTTCGACAGCAGTTCTAAAAACCGTGTCATAGAGTGGGTTTATCTTTCAGTTTCTTATCCCAGTCATCTTTGCAACTAAATTGGCGACTTCTCGCTGATGTGTTTCACTTGGCCACCGTCTCCAAAATTCCATTTTTTGAATTGGCTGACATGAAGAGCCGTTGGTCCATCTTTCAGGGCTAGCGAGTTTGTGGGACAAAGTGAAAAACTGGATGAAATTGTTGGTTGGATCGATTCGTGCACGAAGGAAATACAAAATGTCGCCGAGGATTTGGACCCCCCGGAAGGACGTTTTCACTGGCTCACTGTCAGTGGGAGTTCGGGATGTGGAAAATCGGTTTTACTTGCTAAACTGGCGAAAACCATGCTTCTGGATGAGCATATGCGCGAACGGTGAGACAGACACTAGTCTGGAAATTTTCCCAGTTAGGTAGCTGACTTGTACAACCCAATGATGTACATGCTTTGACCTAATCCACAGCTAAAAACTAACTCACTATTTGTGAGCTATTTCGGCATGGTCGGGTTTAACCGCAGCTGCAAATGAAGTTCAGTACCCCAGGTCTTTTATGGACTGGTAGTTAGGTCAATTCGGGCAACCTTCAAACATCGCCCTCCTTTCTGGTACGATTTTTAACCTGCAACAAAAATTCTTAATCGCTAAAAGTTCCAACTGACCGATCCTTCTGTTTCTAGCCGATGAAAAACCAACCAGGATACTGTGCCTGGTAGATTTCCAAGAGTGACCTTCATCTTCAAGATCACCATCGAAAGCTGGGTTGAGTCTAACGATTCGCTTGTAAACTATTCAATTATCAATCGAGACGATATGATCAGTGTCCAATCGGGCTGGTCAATCAAATCACACGCACTCAAATGCTCACTGGTGATATCTCCTCGATTTTTGGTGGAAGGTTTGCAAGCTGATTGTTAGGCGACCTGATCAACACCAGTCAGAGGCATTTCCTTGCTATGAACGTGGATCTTTCTGGAATTTTTGTCGATGCAAGGAATGCGCTTAATACCCTGGTCGGGCACTTCAAAAATTCAGTCAAATTGTTCCGTTACGCCAAAGCATACAGTTGATCTCCTTTTCATCGCCTCCATAGAGTTACTTCCTCTAAGACATGGACAACTCTGCCAGGTTGTGAGGTGTCTATTCTAAGGAAGTCGCTTACAGGGGGACCTCTTTAATCCCTTTTTGGTCCAACCAATTGATGCAACCATTTGCTCGACTGCTTTGGTTTTCTATTCCAATGAATTGAGGCCAGCTACAGGCTCAACAAAATCGTTTACTCTCAGAGGCCTCCTAGATAAGAGCAGGATTGTTAAAAATCATTCGTTTTTCGCAAAAAAAGATACCAATTTTTATGTTGACATTTACGTCGTGTCAACTTGCAAGTTTACTTCTGTTGAAGAACAGAGTATGAGACTAAATCTCACCAAGCCTGCGGTTGATAGGATGAGAACCATATTTCTCCCATGTCTGACGTACTTTTTCTAGTGCCCGTGTGGTTTATCGATCCATCGGAAGTTCCACAGTTTCACTGAAACTCCTCGATACATTGCACTACCTATGTTGTGAGCTCTCAACTCAAATGAAGCCCTCTTTGTTGCCTCAGGTGAGTCAACCATCTGGAATTTAACTGCCAAACGTTATCGTTTCAATCTAAGACTTTCCGGTGATTGTTAAATTTTTCTATGCAGATTCTAAGATGGTTCGGTTAGGATTCCTAGAGATCCTGATGAAACTAAAAAGATAACTCCTAAGTGATGTATGACATCTAAGGTTCAGTGTCCGAGTTGGGATATTTCTTGAAACAACGCCACATGGTGTCACATACATCTGTGTTACGGTACTCGTCGGTATTCTCGTCAAATCTTACCAATCTCTCCCAAAAAAATATGCCGACATGTCCCAACATAAAGAAGTATTGACATCCAACCCCATATATTTCGGACGCTATTTTGGATGTGGGGTGTAGCCGATATGAATCCTACAGTTGAAGCAAAATAGACAATGAGCACTGTGCTTTCGCGAGATCAGTGAGGTTAGGTTAAACAATCAGCCATTTGCTCAAGTTTCAGGTATAAATAAGACCAATGTAGGACCTGAGCATTGATCAAGGGTTCTTCAATGTCTTTTGACCACTTCGAGCTGCGGTTAGCCACGTTGCCGAACAGGACGTTGCTCGTTATTCATTCATGTTGCCTGTTTTAAGAAATCGTTCAGGTGTAGCACCCTTTCGGTGCCTAATTGCCATGCCACCCGAGGGAGGCAGGAGGGCTGTGATTGTGTCAGCTTACTCAAGCCTAGACAGGGGAAGTCGACAGGCAGAGGTCGGGTTCGAACCACGGACTTTCCAAACAGTAAATCCGCGCTCTAACCAGTGAGCCATCTCGCCCCCTAATGCTTGTTCATCTATCTCTTCACCAAGTTATTGACTGCTAAACGAGTGAAAGCATTCTGTTGGTAGTGAATGAAAACGAAGAGAAATGTTTTGTGAGTGATATCAAGGCATCAAAGATGTTCTTACCTCTGATTTTAATACAGTTGGCTAAAGTAGCCAACCTTTCACTGTTTTTACAAGCCACACTGACTGAGGAGCGTGTATAATCGAGCGGCAGTTAAGGACATCTGCGTCATGCCAAGTAAATGAAGGCGTGGTGGTAGCAGTTTCCTTTACATCGACACTGAGTAGTTTCAACCCCAATGCTTCTTGTAGTGGGCTGCTGGGCTGGGACAGCTCTGCAAGCAAATACCTTGCATTAAGATACTCAGTTGTCTTCAGGAGCTATATAGTAACATACTTCACTTGTGTTCTGAAAGTCACCTGAAATCCTTTTTTCCACACTAAAACTGACAGAATTATGATGGACTCCGCAACGCCATGCATGATGCACTGATCGAGGCATCTTACGAACAGCCCTCCTCGCTGCCTCTGGTTGTCGTACTTGATGGGATAGAAAATTTTGAAGGTACGTGAGCCTGGAAATGTTTTCACGTCATGTAAACATTACTTGAAGGCGGGCGGGGAGTAGCGGCCAGTCAAAGACTTCTTTGAAGAAAGTCGTCGAATTTCGAGTTCACTGCATTACGAACCTGGCTACACAGACTCTGGTTCCATATACGTTCAAGCCAACGTAATATTTGGGTTCCTTGAAACAGGAATGTGTGTGCTCTAGTATTTTTTTGCTATAATTTACTTCATTGCTATGGATGGTATGCAACCCTGCTATCATCCGGTTGGATACAACCTCCCAAGTCAATACGGAGAGTTCCAGGATTTGAGTTGCTCGTTTGTTCGTCTGCGTTCACTGGTTTTATCGTCTTGTTGTATCGTGGGTGGCCATTTATTGGTTGCGCCTGCACTGGGCCTGCCAGACTACGCGATAAGTAGAAGACAGAGGACTCGGGACACGGCTGTATCGTCAGGACAAAA